TCTAAGCAACGCAGTCCAACCGCGAACACGAAATAAATAAGATAGTGTAAACTATATTCCTACGCTATTATTGTTTCAGGAAAAGACAGTCAGCATCCAGATTATCATTCAAAGTTACGTTGATTAACATATATTTTTTACCTGAATCAATGTCCCAAATTGCTATATTGTATCGTTTAAGACCTAGAAATATGGCAATTCAATAGCGTATTTGGCAGAACAGTCGAGCGCAAGATGACAACGTAATATGTTTATTACAAACCAATTTGTGGATAGGGTTAAATATATAGATAATTGGATAGTGGTGAGACTTTTTATAAGAAGTAGAAATGCGAAACAATTAACTTTTTGATGATGCAATAAAAGCTGTTGGGGAAGGGTACATTAACTAGTATTTAAGATATCAGGAAAATATCAAATAATTGGAGAGTTGGTGAGTTAATGTAATTTTGAATGATCTTTCCAACAGTCCATCAACATTGCTAGCTACCATAAATTCATGATTTCAGCTGTATTTGACAGCTTGTATATATTTGCAGAATGGATTGGGACACGATGTAGGTCTATTAAAATAGCCCTTTATATTCAATTTTGTCCAAAGTTGCTCCATTTCGGCCACACCTGTACACACATTGTGCTATCTACCTTTGGCTGTGATTGCGTTCAGCTTCAGATATAAAGCAACACTGAGTCGCGGACTGCGTTGGGCAGATGGATGGACTGCGACTATTATAAATTCCAATGTTCTATGTAATCGTACGTTTTCCGCTTACCAAATATCACACGAAGGTGTAATTGTTACAACAGAACATGAATAATTATATTAATTCGATGTCATTTCTGATTCCTTTGTTTAAATCGGTATATAAGTGACAAATATTGACAAAATTACATTTTTGTGGCAGATTTCGAATTCATTTGTGTTCATGCTAAACTATTGGACAGCCGAGCACCAAGAATGCCATTGCAGGTGGAGTATGAATATGTTGATCACCGACTGGAACATACTAGCTATTCTGTAGAATATCCAAACCAATAATCTACCCCAAATCCTACCATGCCTTCCAAATTAAGTTTGGACTTACCGCCATTGTTCAGCTATAATGCGTTGTAACCTCGTTTTGAATTACGCGAGTCGCAGTCCGTGGCTTCGCCCTCGTTTTGCTTATCCCCCGTGCAAATGGTTTGGCTGGAAACCTGTAGACAAGCTGAAAAGTGAGACGCCGCCCGCCGCCTGCCCGCCCACCTGCCGCCTGTCAAACTGACTACAATATCGTAACTTTTGTTAGGTACGTACGATAAAAATCACAAAAACTGAAATATCTTTTCTAGTATTGGACATATAACATTTTCTTTTACTGGACATACTTTAATTTGCATAACTATTCGATACATAAGGGCTATATGAAAATTGAACCACTAAAACAGATGTAATTTAAGTTAAAGGGAACTTTCTACTATACCCGCCATGCTATCTGACCTGAGCGAGCCACCTGGTGGTGAAACTGGTAACTACCTACTCGCATTTGCGTTATTTATGACTCAACCTTTCCAAATCTACTTGTATCGGCGAGTCTCAAATTTGTTACCATTGTTAAATGCCAGTTTCCATAGCAACCAATTGAATATTGTTAATAGATGTACATTATTAGGCATATTCCACTCATTATTCATCAACTCAAATTGTTATTTGTATCATAATGAAGCAAAAAATATGCAATAAGCTCATATGCAAATTAGCTCATTTGCTAATCATTATGACGTCATATGATGTGTATTTTTATCTAACCTAAAAAGGTACGATATTGTCATCTGCTTGGCAGATGGGTGGTGTTTCATTTTTCTTGTCATCACGATTCAAGGAAAACCACTTCATGAATTTACTTCAAATTTTCTCACATATTACATGGAACGAAGTTCTAGAGCTGATTAACTTTTCGGTGGCCATCTTGCATTCTGGTGGCCATCTTGGAAGTTTTTAAGATAAATATTGTCATCAAGATTTCAGAAAAACCACTCACAAATTTATTTCAAATTTTTACACATGTTACATGGTTCTAGAGCTGATAAACTTTTCAGAAGCCATTCTGCATTCTGGAGACCATTTTGGAAGTTTTTATCCCATTGTCATTCCAGGAAAAGCACAAGGCAGATTTACATCAACTTTTTACACATGTTACATTGTAAAACATTGTAGAACAGATAAACTTTTTAGCAGCCATCTTTCATTCTGGAGACCATTTTGGAAGTTTTTGGATACATCTTGCCATCGCTATTCCAGGAATTGTGCAGATTTACAACATCAAATTTTTACACATTTTACATGGTAAGATGTTCTACAGCTGATTAACATTTTGGTGGCCATTTTGCTTTCTGGGTAAGCAAGCCCACACTGATGTTTTGGGTACACTTTTGTTCACAATGTGTCCTTTTCTACATAGTACTCATATATTTAGACTGGAATATGTAAGCACTAGTGCTAAAGGGTAAGGACCAAAAATGGTATCCCAAATCATAAAGTTTGTACATCTGAGGTTCCGTCATTTTGATAACAAACGAACTGTTAATTAATCGAACACCTAATCGAATGGATATCCAGTGAGTGACAGACTGAATACACTTAAATTTACTGAAAGTACATTTTTGAAGAGAACCTCAAAAGCTACTTCTGCCCTGTCAACCCTCACGCATTAGGTGTGATTGTCACGCATTTGCTGGAAAAATAGAAATCACGCATCAGTTTAGCGTGTATGATCAAATATCACGCAAATCACGCATTTTGTTGAAATTTTTAAAAATCGTTTTTTGTGAAATGCCGACCCGGTAAAATACCGAATGGCGAACAAAAGCGAACGCATTTCCGTTCGGTCTTTGCACGCGATTGCCGTTTATGTCACGTATTTGGTACAAAATATGTGTATATATCACAGGTTTTCCTTATTTTTGCGATTCTGACACTCCGCTTTCATAATATTCTTCGATCGCCAAGGATATGCTAATAGTCTTAGCCTCTTGCAGTCAGAGGGTATTTTTTTACTTACTTTTGAGATATATATGGAAAGTAGGTCAAAACAAAAAGTTCTAAAAATGCAACGTTTGAGGTGTCAAAATAATGGGAAAGGACATGGTGCAATTATTAGCAAATATCCCTATGGTCAAAATGAATCATTCGTAGGTGTGACATGAAGAATAAAATGTCATATAATACTTTGGAAAATATTAAAGTGCTCGGACACACATAAGCTGAGATAGGGATCATTTCGTTCAGTAAGGTTGTATTGACTTACATGACTTAACATGAGGATATCAGCAGATCCCAATAGAGGCCATTGGTTTCCATTGATTATCACAGAAATACCAAAAATACACTATGACCTGAATCGATTGCAAACTTAATAATTTCACAATACGACACAAATGGTTTATCTCATCAAATGTGCAAATATGAAGTTTGCAATCGATTCAGGTCATACTTAAAATTAAAAGATTGTACATTTTTTCATCATTTTTTCCCTACAAAATGGCTATAGAAAAATGCTCCAAAAACAACTTTTACACTTATCAAATATCATACAAGTTTGTAAAACCAAAGATTATACTATTATATTTCATTATGTAGTAACATATTTGGATAAGATGCATGCGTAGGATGTAAATGGATTTTGACAGACACTATGCCTCTACACTTCATGATTGAATTATGATCCTAATAAGTGGCCTATACATCAATACAGTGCTGAATATAGGTCAACAAGATACTAGTGTGCATATAAATGTAATAATTGAAACAGAATACTCATTTTGAAAAATCAGATGAATTATTTTTTTCCCATGGGGAGATCCCAATGGAGGGTGTATAAGGTCCTTTCTGAAGTCAGAATTGAAACCCGACTTCCAGTTAAGATTCTTTGATGTTTTGAAATCTCGAAAAGTCGACATGAGCATTGCACTTAGGGGCGGGGTCAAAATATCGATGTTCATATGGAGACGAAAGTACTTTCGCGAGGGGGGGAAGGGGGTTTTTGGGCACTTTCGTTGACCAAAAAAACATCGATAATTCGGATCTGATATACAAAAAATAATTGGACTTACCCACTTTTTCTGGCGCTATATTCTGATGAAAAGGCTTGTTTTCAATAGTTCGTGAGCTTTTTTGTGTGATAGGTCCAAAATATCGTTAGATAAAGACGATAATTCGATCATTTTTCAAATAAATTCCCTACTTTTCCCTCCTCCTTTTGAAGAGTTCAATGCAGTTAAATTGCGAACGTGTGTTAATTCACCGTAATAATAACCCGGCAAATAGGATACGATTATGCCTCTCATAAATCAATGTTTTTTTGAAGTGACCTAAGCTTTCGTCTAGAGGGGGGTGGGGGGGGTTGTTGTCCAAACGAAATTACTTTCGTCTCCATATGAACATTGATATTTTGACCCCGCCCCTTATGAAGACATGTAGTGAGCATTACTAGCTCTCAAACTAAATTCTAAAATTCATATCATTTTGCTATGTTTGTTAAGCGTGTATATGTGAATGACAAGCTGTTGTGAGTAGATCAGGTACGTGTTTTAGACACATTAATTTAGCTTGATATTGAGGTGCTCAGTCGCACTTTTGAGCATGGTACTACAAGTTTTTATTAATTTAGCAGGAGACAGGTTTTCGAAAAATTTGTTAACTAATTCACTCGATTATCATATGGATGTGTATTTCTGCTGACGTTTTAACACCAAAACACATAGAAATACAATGCAGATATAATGATAATAAAACAGAAAACGACTACTAAATTCCCCTTGTTATTTCACAGAAGGTAAAAATGCACACTGCCTAGATTTTTTGTAAGGGTTTTCAGACATCAGATTGGCCGCATATTTGAAATGAGGATATCACTAAATAGAGCTTTGTGCATGTCATAACATACCTACTGTATACATGAGAAACAAATCAAAACATCCCTTATTGGTGTTTACCTTAATTTAGAAAAACGGTCAATTACCTTAGGTTTTGAGCTACTAGAAGAGTTGCTTCTGAATGTGTACACTTCTGTGGCAGAAGGTGTCTCTTGCAGAGGTTTTCCAATTGGCTGTCTCCTAACATTAATCTTAGTGATATTACATCTCTCATGTTGGCGAATCAGCAAATGCAGATCACAAGTGTGGATACTTGTTTCCAGAGCTATGTTGAAGTTCCGACTGTTTAGGCCTCCAAAGGTTGATGTTGAACATCCTAATAAGCAGAACTAAGTATGAATAAGTAACCATTTATTATGAAAGAAAAGTTGAAGTCTTCAAAATTAAAGGATCCATACCTATTAGTGTACCTACATGTATATGGACTTGGAAAATTATTGTAAAGGGTAAAATGGAAATCCAGCATTATTTTTATGCAATATGAAACTGTATAAAGTATAGTTTAACAAATTAAATCACAAAAATAGTGTGGAAAATATAGTAAAAAGGTATAAAATCTTGAGTTTTGTAGATGGATTTAATTTGACTTGTCAATATATGAACTACAATGTGTTCTAGTCTACTAAGCTTCACTTCATTAGCCAGTCATGCATAAATAGTTAGTAATCCTATTGTATTGAAAGACACCCTTTTGTGTTTTTGTTGTAAATAGTGAATGGCCCTCTCCATTCATTGACAGATTGAGGTACTTCTTCCACAAGCCAAACCCCCTCTGATTTTACATTCATTGACGTCTTAGCTAAAACGTTTTAGTGTTAAAACGTTTTACAAATATAATGTAAATCCAGATTTACTCAAGAGCTCTCGGCTAAGAGTGCTTAGCTAAAACATTTTAGGACCCTAATCATACCCAAGACGTCTTAGCGTTAAAACGTGTAAATCAATCAGTTTTAGCTAAGAGCTCTTAGCCCGTTTTTTTTGCGTTGCGCCGAATGAAACATTTGAAACTATCCATTTACATACGTATACTTATTTGCCTGGCTATTTATCAAAATCCTAATTATGCATAAAATCTTCCTGCTCTCTTTCATGCTTTTAACAATGCTGTCTTAAGGACATATTTTTCTGAAAACCGATGCATTCTTTATATATAGTACAAAGTCGGGTACAAAGTACAGAAGCGGGAAAGGAATAGCTATATTGACTGAACCGTCCTTCAACCAGTACTGAACTACTTTTTTCATTTTACATGTATACCTACATATCTCTAAGACGTTTTAGGAAAACAGGTGTAAATTCGATCTTATTTCTTAAGACGTCTTGAAAATGGTAATGTAAACTCAACTAAATTTTTCTAAAACGTTTTAGCCAAAACGTCTTGGAATGTTGCGCGTAGTGTAAATTGGGCTAATATGAAAGTATAGCAAAAAAATTAGTTTAAAAAAGGAGGCCATATTGAAATATGTAACATTTGTTTGTTTAATTAACTAGAAAGACAATACATTGTACTTACGACAGTAACACAGGTTTTTACTTATTACAATATTACATTTCAATATAAAATGTAAAGTAAGAATACATATTTTAAATTGGTCAAAAAAAACTCATATTGGGATTTGACAATGATGATTTTATCAGGTTTTATAGCTAGGCTAATGAATTGTTTGAAAATGTTTTGCAGGATATTTCTAAGCTCACACAGACATGACAGAAGACTACTAGTTCTGATGTTTCAAAGACATTCGATCTACATATCCTGTATCACTCATGGCATTTCATACCTGGACAAAGTTCCACATGGTCTTCACAATAAGCTCCACTAACATCTAACAAACTCTCAACCTCTTCCTCTAGCAAGTTTGAACATATGCTCAACTCATCTGAAATATATGTATTCACTGTAAATATTCAACTCACCTGGAATACATTTCTTCAATTAAAATTGGCAACTCATCTGGAAAACAATGTTTCAGTTTTCAATGCATCAATGATGATATCATTTGCTCTAACAATGGAATGGATGATGCTGAAAATGGAGACTTTCAGTGAACCCAAGTAAAAAATGACACAATTCAGTGGGCTCACATGGTGATTCCTTTGCTGCTTCCTTCATGTACATGCTACTACAGATTAAATCACAAATATATCATGGATAAGTACTAAAAAAAAGCAGCAACTCCCCAGATTAGTGAACTACGACAAACAAAACATATTCTAACAAATCACACATACTTTTGAACATTTCATAATATGTTTCCTTTAACCAAAATCTACACCCATGACATGACATGTACCTGTATCTTGTGATTTTGTAAGATCATCATTCCTTAACCCATAGGTGGTTGAGTATTCTAGGCCACACCAATGATCTCTATCACTCTCTGGAATGACATCTGATATTGCGACATCAGCAGTTTCAAAGTTGTATTCTAGTACCTTTCTGGGTTTAGGTTTCACAGAAAAAGGTGTCCTCGTGATATTTGGATATTTTTGGCTAATATTAGCCTTCCTCAGTAATTCAAAATCAAACTCAGATTCAAGTTCTGAAATGTCCGATTTCGGTGATGAATTTATGGAGCTTATTTTGCATCTTTGTTCATCAACACAATAGTTTAATTTGACTTTTTTTGATTTAGGTAGAATTAGCCTAAGTTTGCCTGCAGATCTCTCTTGGTCTCGAATAGAATGTCGATATCTAGGTGTATATGGTCTTCGAAATAATTCTTCATCTTTAGATTTTGCCTCTTTGAACTTGTTTGTACCTTCAGAGAGCTGTGGTTCATATGTAGAGGTACATTCATGCTCTGTCATACTGTGATGGACTTGGTTGAGGTTTTCTAAATTTATCACCTCAATACTGTCAGATGGAACGCGTAAAGTTTCAACATTATTATTTAAAGCAAGACCAGGTTTGTTGCTACCTCTTGTGTTCTGTACTTGCTTCAAGTTCTCGTCATTTGTGTTGTTTGTGTTATCCATAGAGTTAGTAGTCTGAACTTGATTATTATTGCTACCACTAGAACTATTGAATTCTTGATTGTTTACTGTTGACTGAAATGTCAAAATAGTTATTTATCAGTTAGAACACTACATAACTGCAACATCAGGCTTATCAGGTTGCCCTATTGGAAACTGTCAAATTATAAATACCATGTCCCATCTATTGTATCAAAAAATTGTTCCATTATATTTGCCTCTTTAATCGAGCTACAATAATGCAAAAATATTAATCCTGGAGAGCAGCAACCCAAACAAAACACTGAATTGAAGGGGAGACCACTCCTCATTAACCAGAAAGTAATAAAGTTTTGTTTATTGTATACACTAATAACATGTAACTCAAAATGGACATGAAATATGTCAACCTTTTCATGACATCTTGGAGCCATTTTGATTTGATCTGACATTTTTCAATTTTTTCTAATCCTGAACTTTAGATAACAACAACATCATAGCGTACCAAATCAAATCGAACAGCCATGGCTGCCATGACTTCTATACACATAGAGCACATATGTACAAAATATAGACAAAATCAGGCTGATGGTATTTGAGTAATCACCTGGACAGATGTACGTACTTACATCCACAGATATAAAATATCTGTGTCAAAAGTATTACATACCTAATTTAGTAGTTTGGGTGCACCAATATAAAAATCAGTGCCTATTTTGTATTCCTGACATATTTAGTGGAAAGTCCGGTACCTATCTCTATATTAGATGTTTAAAATTAGGTGACCCAACTTTATTTTTCGGTCACCTAATTTTATCTGGTACCCGAATCCTGTACTATGAAAAATTGGTACGTTAAAAAATCCGGTACCCGAAAAAATTCCCTACGTCGAAAAATCGGGTGCCGGAAAAATCCTGGACCCAATTATCGCCTCCCTTTATTAAAAGATGTCGTGGTGATCAAACATCCATAAATTCTTGAACAAAAATATGGATCCGATTTTCGCCTCCCTTTATCAAAAGAGGTCGTGGCATTCGAGCGTACAGAATTTCTTTAACAATAATATGGATCCGATTATTGCTGCCCTTTATCAAAATATGTCGTGGATAACAGAGCTTTAAAGTTGCAACAATTAGTCAACGATCATGGACAAGTGTCAAAATATATTTAAAGTCAAATAGTTCTCCGGAAAGCAATCGTGGGTTGTTCCGAGGTACCTAGTAAGTGATAATTCGAGCTATGATGAGATAATATACAATGATGAACAAATGGAGCAAGTGCTGGGAAGAGATACCCTCGATAAAGATGATTGTTCCTTCTATTGCACAGATTTTCGCCGGGGGGGGGTACTTGTCAAATTTTTGTACAGGGGGGGGGGGGTGCCGCTGAAACTCAAAATACCTACCCCCCGGGGATTTTCGCCGGTAAACATATTTTTTCGAAGATTTCTAAATTAAGATTGTCACGCAACTAACTAATAAGTTTAGATAAGACCCGTTAAATTAATTATTAATTAATTAAATTAGTTCCGATAGTACGTTGGCAGAGACCTCCCCTGGCACTTGGTTGGTCCAGGTTCGAATCCCTGTATCATTTTTTTAAATCTTTTATTAAATTATTGTAATTGTGCTTTGAATTACACTTATAAAACATTTGTAACTACGTCAAATTTATATTAAAGCATTTATTATCTCTTCTGATGAATGTAAATGAAAAAATAATTTATGTTCATATAGTTCACATATTGCGTTTTGGGTAAAGGTCAGCCTTTAGTTTGGATATTTCATTCATCAAGACTAACACCTATTTTTATTATCTACAAAGAACTGGACCCCTAGATAAACAGCTGATATTCCTCCTGAAACATGGTGGATCTTAAAAATATATAAGAGGATTTCCCCTTTTTGAAGCTTTTGTCTTATGTCATGCAATCTGTATTAATGGTGAGAGGTCTCGTTCAGGGGGCCTGGGAGACAAGGTCTAGTAGGTAAGCTTCCCCTAACCACCGTCAGTACTCATGTGACGGGTCGTGTATATTTGGTAGATCCTAGGGTAATGACAATGGTGTGCTATTCCCTTCATTCACGTAGAGAGAGGCTGGACATCCCGATCCTGTAGCGGATCTTCTCCCTTATATGTTGGTCATTATAAGGGCCCAAAGTGTTTCGAACTCATGGGGGTATCCAATGATTGTTCTTCCTCAGCGGCCGAAAGAATGTTGTATGTGATTTGATTGTGAATGATAATGCTGTTTTATTTCTATCATTCAGTTGTATTTTAATAGGTTTCCCGTATTCGTTTTTGGCGGGAGGGGGGTGGTTGTTTATGCGTATTGGTTTATTGCATAAAGGTGTGGTCAGTTTATTGATAAATTTTGGTTAGGTTTGGTTTGTGGTTAGACCATATGGTCGTGTATGTTATATGTTGATATTGTGTGTAGCTTTTATAACTGCCTTATACAAATTAATTACCATCAAGGTAATTTTTATTATGTAATCACAACCATCGTTACATCATAATATGTAATATAAATTATATATATATAAGTTATGATTTTATAATGTATTTAAAGGGTCGTTGGCCTGTTCGTGTTCGGTTGTATCTTGTGGCATTTTGTGGTGTTTTCAATTGGTTGAGTTGGTGTGCGTTTGGCGGTGACTGTGGTAGGTTAAGGGTGGGTGAATAGCTTTTTGGTAGTTCAGGTGATTTGTTTATTGTTTCAGCTTTCCGTTGGTATATGTGATATGTTGCTAGTATATCTTGTTGTTGAGATATTAACTTAAATGTACCGTTTAGTGGTCCGTATTTCCAATATTTCGATTTTCTTGTATTTTGTTTTAATCGAACGCGTATGCGTATTGGTTAATTGTATTGGGGTATGGTCAGTTCAGTGTTGGACTTTGGTTTGGTTGTTTTGTTCATTGTTTGCGCTTAATTGTCATGTGTGTTTTGTGTTGATATTTTGTGTGTTTGAGGAGGCATTAATTTGTTCGTGTATGGTTGTATTTTTTATTTCTGGCATTTTGCAGTATTTTCGATTTGTTTAGTAGGTTTGAGTTTGGTGGTGACTGGGGTGGGTCTATGGTAGGTAAATTGTCTTTTGATGGATCAGGTGGCTTGTTTAATGTTTTAGCTTTGTGCATTATGTTCGTTATATTAACTTAAATGTAGGGTTTGATGGCCCGTATTTCAAATATTTTGATTTTCCCATATTTGTGTTTTATCGAGAGGGTGTATGCGTATTGGTTAATTGCATCAGGGTATGGTCAGTTCAATGTTGTAATTTTATTTGGTTGTTTTGTTCATTGTTTCAGCTTCATGGTCAGGTATATGTTATGTTCATATTGTGTGTATTAGAAGAGTTGTTATAGCTTTTCCGTGTTTGGTCGCGTTTTTGGTGTTTTCTGCATTTTGCGGTATTTTCGATTTGTTAAGTTGGTTTGAGTTTGGTGGTGACTAGGGTGGGTCTATGGTAGATAAATTGTCTTTTGATGGTTCAGGTGGCTTGTTTAATGTTTCAGCTTTCTGTTGGTTGTGTGTATTATGTTGATGGCATATCTTGTTGTTGAGATATTAACTCGAATGTAGGGTTTCGTGGTCCGTATTTCAAATATTTTGATTTTCCCATATTTGTTTTGTATGGGGAGGGTGTATGCATATTGGTTGATTATGTCTGTGTGTGGTTGGTTGATTTTTAAGTCTGGTTCAGTTGTATTGTGTTTTCTTTATCCTTTATTGTGAGGTATTTTTTGTGTTGATAGTGTATGTTTTGAGGGAGTTATGAACTTGTATGTGCATAACCGTTTTTTGTTTTTTTGTTTTATATTTATTTTAGACGCAAAAACATATTTACATAAGAATTATAAAACACACAAAAGAAAAAATACAAAGTCTTGCAAGCACTTGTATAGGAAGCATGATAGTTTGGGTTTTTCATTAGTTTATTTGGAGGCAGTCGGACTTTCAAGGTTGAGTTTTTTATAAGGGGCACTTAGCATTATGTTTGCTTATTTTCATGGTATCAGTACTTTAAAGTTTTTCGTGCCCTGTGTCTCTGTCCCCGAGTGTTAATATTTTTTACATTTTTGAAATGATTTCCAACAGACTTGGGCCAGTGTCATTCTCAGGTATTTCTCCACTCCATTTTTATTTGTCTTACCTGTTGGCGTCACTGACCATTTCTATCCAGTTAAAACCAACATATATGCTCTTGAGAGCGTCATGTTGTATTGAATGTCATGTATGCTTTTCAAAATAGTAATAAATATCTGAATCTGAATCAGGAATTGCTATTTTGTATTCTATGTTTTTAATATCTTTCAAGAATGTTATAAATTCTTCAATGTTCAGCTTTTTTTCTAGACATTTGGTAACATGTAAATAAATCTCTTTCCAAGCATATACAGATGGTTTAGTGGTCTATTGCTTGGTATTCCCGCCACCACCGCACAACCCGCCACCACCCATCATTAAACGATCAGGCACAACCAACCACACAACACAATCAGACACAACCAGATACCTCACCCGACTGGGCACAACCTACAGCCCGACCAGCACAACACAATCACAACATAACACAGCGCATTATGAACACAATGAGGCACAGCTTGACACCAAGCTAAAAAAAACAACCAGGCACAACCCAACTTCAAACCAACAACACAATACGGCACAACTCAATACTACAACCTTATTTTTACCTCCGAAAACACAACCAATTGTCAAATATACGGAACACAATTTGGCACAACCCAATAATAAAACAACAAAAACAAAACACAACCCATTGTTGATGTAACACAACACAATTTTACACAAAAAATCAAAACACAATCAGGCACAACCACACTGGAATACCAAACCACCCAACCAACACTCTCTGAAAACAACACCAATCATGCAACACAATCTGACACAACCAGATACTTCATCCTACTGGGCACAACCCACTACCCGACCAACACAACACAAGTACAACATAACACAACCACTTTGAAATTAACATAACTTAATGAGACACAACCCGATACCAAACTTACAAAACACAACCAGGCTCAACTAGACAAACAACCACCAAAACACAATCGACTATC